GACCCACAGGCCCAAATAATTGCCCACCCCTGCTTTATAACATGACAGAGGTGCTTTGGAGGGTGAGAACAGGCTTGGCATTAGAGATGTTTGGATAAAATATAATAAAAGGTATAAGCTTTTAAATTACTTACACATGGAAAACATTAATAAATTATGGGAATGTAATTTTTAAAATAAATATTAAAGTGAGTGTAAAAACTTACGACTAACCTGAAAGACTAAGATTTTAGTAGCACAGAGGCAAATCCCATCCTATCCTTCCCACTGTGTTGGGGATGAGCAGAACCTCATCAGTTAAATTGAACTGTGGAGCCTGCACAATGGCACCTGCTGCCCTTTGTCATCATAAAACATATAGGTCCTCTGTCTCCAGGTGCATAGGAGGTACGTGGGGCAGGCTGGCAAGAGAATGAATGGACGATTTGCAGTTTTGTGGCTCCAACAGTAGTGCCCCACCACGAAAGGGAGGCTATGTAAGATACCATTGAATCCATTTGTCGAGTGGCTGTTACCATTCAGAAATCTTAAGTGTGCCTTTTGAGTGCCACTTTGATATTTAGCTACTTGAGTTTGGTTAGGGTCAGGACTTCCCCTAAAAATAAGGATTGCCACCCTGCTTTAGAACATTGACCCATTTAATCCTGTCTGACCGTGACCAGTCCTTTAAAGTAAGATGTAGCTATCCTAATTGCTCAACCGTTACTCTTCCCATAGCTCATAAGAACTGATGGTAAAATCTATACACCAAGGCAATAGCTGCAAATTATATGTTTTGTTTTCCAGTAATGTCTTATCTTGGTACAGTAACCTACTCCCACCGTAACTAAGCACAACTGCCATTTTTTTTGACTTACAACTTTGTAAGTAGTAGCAGAGAAGATGCCCCAAAATCTCTAGCAAATTGCTGAGGATTTGTGTCTTGTGAGAGAGGAAAGGAGGGCAGCCAGCTGGACTGAGCTAGTAAGAGTGAAATGAATGTCAATAGTTTGTTGCTGTTTGTGGCAAACATGTCTTGGCTGCAATCACAAGTGTTTAGCTGTTGTGGTGAGGTCTTTTGTACATGAACGGTTCACAGCTCCATAGCTAGAAAGGCACAGATACTCAATCTGCATCTCTTGGTAGTCCTTTATTTAGCTCTGATTAAGACGTTGTTACGCACCATGGACCCAGTCGTGTTTCTCCCCTTCCATGCTCATTAAACTTTCCTCCTTACCTGTGATCTCCTTATGCCAATAATTTTGAAGATGTCTCTATATTTCACTACTGAAAGTTGGTTTTAGTCAACTACTTGTCTTTTTGTCAGTTTGTGACCAGATTGAACAGATTTCAGTATCATACCTCAAGATGTTTCTGTGGCAGCTTAAGAGTTACACACCTGTCTTGCGATGCTAAACTTCATCATACAGCATGATTATCCCGCCCTTCATCAATAACTTAATGTTTTCCTGCATTATTATTACACCCCCCATCTCTGTTGCTGGCATGAAGCTTGTGGGGCTCTGATTATGCTCCACTGGAGCCATTAGGCTCTCCTGCTGTGTTAAATGAGTCTATTTTGGCATTTTGATTTTTGGATCTCTGCTCTACTTTAGTTGTATCCAAGGTTTTAGAACGTTAAAAATAAAAAACAACTCCCCTCTCACTGGCATCCTCTAATCAACTGTCCCTTAATGTTTTTTGCTGTATTGTGTTCTGGGTAACTATTAGGGGCTTTCTCCTGCAGGTTCTTTGCCTTGACAAAACTCTCGCTGAAGTCTGTGGAAGCTCCACTTGCATTACAGGAACAGGATCAGGCTCTCGCTCTAAGTCACCAGAGATAGCGTTACTGCTCTGATAGCGTTTTGAGGAATCTCATCACCTGCTTCAAACCCTTGAACTCCTGCTGTTTCTGAGTACAGTTATGATAACTGCTGTCAATGGTGCATGGTACTACCAGAATGGACAGACAGAGAACAAAGCATAAATAATGAAGGGTCAGGGCTTAAAAATGTACCTGCGGGTCAAGCCCTCATGGTCATCTGGTCCCGTAGGCTCTGCTCCTACTGTGCTTTCAAAGGTCTCTGAAGATGAAGACAGCACACTGAAATCCTGAATCTCACTTACTAGGAAGCAGAGCCACCCTGAGACTAAAAAGATTGTGTTCTCTTTTGCATGACTTTATACACTATTAATAGGTACAGGAAGAGAGTTTTGAAGGGCAGTTTGGTGATGTTGTTTGATCTATGTTCCACAGAAATTGCTGTTCAAATTATTCAAATGCAGCAGCATAACAATGGGCGTGCGATTTGCTTGGTAAAGGCTCTGAAATAGAGCGGGGGGTACCCTCACCCCGGTGCGCACACATCCTGCACCTTCCATGCAGTAGCTCCAGCTCTGGCAGCAGGGAGAGCAGGTCAGAGGTGATAGGGTCGGGGGCAGCAGCCGTAGTAACAGGATGCTACAGGGGGAAGGTGTCAGAGAGGGTTAATCCTCTTACCTCCTTTCTTTTACCCCCAAAAATCAGTTTTTGACATGTCACCTCCTTTTTTTGCCTCTTACACCTTCCCCTGTAGCTGCAAACCTCTGGCTGCCTTGCCCTGTTTTTGCTGACTGCTGCCTCTGCACTACTGCCACTGAGGGTGCAGAACTGGCCAGTTCCACCTTAGTTCAAATGGCATCCCATTCAGGTTTTGCAGAAGTCACCACCACAAATCATAGAAATTAGGGCTGAAAGGGACCTCAGGAGGTCAGGTCTCGTCCAACCCCCTGCTCAAAGCAGGAACATTCCCAACTAGATCATCTCAGCCAAGGCTTGGTCTAGCTGCACCATAAAACCTCCAAGGATGGAGATTCTGCAACCTCTCTGGGTAACCTGTTCCAGTGCTTTACTACCCTCCTAGTGAGAATGATTTTCCTAATATGTAATCTAAACTTCCCGTGTTGTAACTTGAGCCCATTGCTCCTTGTTCTGTCATCTGCCACCACTGAGGACAGTGCAGCTCCATCCTCTTTGGATCCCCCCTTCAATTCATTGAAGGCTGCTATTAATGCCCTCCCTCCCCACCTTTTCTTTTGCAGATAAATAAGCCCAGTTTCCTCAGCCTCCCCTCACAAGGCATTTTCATTTCCCTCTGCTGGACTCTTCAATTTGTCCACATCCTTTCTGTAGTGGGGGTACCCAAATCTGGACACAGTACTCCAGATGTGGCCTCACCAGTGCTGAATAGAGGGGAATAATTTCTTCCCTCAATCTGCTGGCAACACTTCTACCAATGCAGCCCAGGATGCCTTTAGCCTTCTTCCCAACAAGGGCACACCGCTGGCTCATATCCATCTTACTGTCCATTGTAACCCCCAGGTCTTTTTCTGCAGAGCTGCTGCCCACGCAGTCAGCCCCCAGCCTGTACCGGTGCATGGGATTGTTCTGTCCTAAGTGCAGGACTTTGCACTTTTCCTTGTTGAACCTTGTGAGATTTCTTTTGAGCTAATCCTTTAATTTGTCAAGGTATCTCTGGGTGTGCTACAGGAGATGCTTAATGTGCAGTGGACTCATTCTATTGCACATTAGCGCATCACAGCAAAAACTGCGTAGTGGACTTCTACTGTGCATTAAGCGCCACAAAAAGACCACGGGCTGTTGCTACTGCGCATTTAGTTAGTACCTCATATTAGAGGTACTAAATTTAATGTGCCATAACAACTCTGCATTAATGCATTTGTAGACGCACCCTCCAAATCCTAGCCTTGCCCTCGAGCATATCTACTACCCCAAGTTTGGTGTCATCTGCAGAC